CCCCAGAAAATTTTGTTTTTTCTGGATAATTAAGGAAAAGTTTAGTGTATTTTTTGAAAATTTAGGTATAAGGGGAAAAATTTGCAATATTTTGTTTAAAAATTGTGTATGTCCGGAAAAATTTTTTGTTATAGGTCCGGAAAAATTTTTTCATCCCTTTTCTTGTATATGTCCGGAAAATTTTTGTACCCCTAAAATGGTACAGTGACCGAAATTTTTTGGCGACGGGGGGGGGGAGATCACGGAAAAAAATTTAGCCCCCCCCAAAATAAAATCTGTTCCGCCGCCATTGGTGTTTTATATCTGATAAAGCACTCTTGTGCACACGTAAAAATCTCATAACTTGTCAACAAGATGTGTCCGCAACAGGCTTGTAGCAAGCTTGTCAACAAGATGTGTTCGCAACAGGCTTGTAGCAAGCTTGTCAACAAGTTGTAACAATGCTGTTATTTTATCAAGTTGCTACAAGGTTGTCACTCACAACTTGTTGACAAATTGTTGAATTGCAAGACGATAACAAGTTGTTGGAACAACTTGTAACAAGTCTGTTGAGCTCAACAACCTTGTAGCAAGTTGTCAACAAGCCGTTGACAACTTGTCAACAAGCTTGGAACAAGCAGTGCTAACATATATCCTGTTGACAAGTTGTTGGAACAGCATTGCTACAAGTCTGCTACAGGTTTGTTACAATTTGTGCGTTTTTACGTGTGTACTACACAAGCAAAAATCTCACATCTTGTAGCAAGTCTGCCACCAAGTTGTCAACAAGTTTGAAACAAGCTGTTAGCAACTTGTAACAAGCTTGATGGCATTATCAGACTTGTTGCAAGGTTGTTCCAACAAGTCCGATACAGTCATGATATAACAATATTGTTACAACCATGCATGTGTGGTCATTCTTGTTATATCACGACTGTATCAGACTTAGAAAAACCTCGTAACAAGTCCATCAAGCTTGTTATAAGTTGTGAACAGCTTGTTCCAAACTTGTTACAACACCTGGGAACAAGCAGTGTGAACAAAACTTGTCGACAGCTTGTGAACAGATTTGTAACAACTTGTTTGCAGACCTGTAACAACTTGTGCGTTGTTACGTGTGTAGTCAGTTTTCAAAAATTACACATGAAAAACGCACAAGTTGTTACAGGTCTGCAAACAAGTTGTTACAAATCTGTTCACAAGCTGTTGACAAGTTGTGTTCGCACTGCTTGTTCCCAGTTGTTATAACAAGTTTGCAACAAGCTGCTAACAACTTGTAACAAGCTTGATGGCATTATCAGACTTGCTACAAGGTTGTTCTAACAAGTGTGATACAGTCAAGATATAACAGGAATGTTACAAGGTTGATGACCCAAGGTTGTAACAATATTGTTATACCATGACTGTATCCGACTTGTTGGAGCAACCTTGCAACAAATCTGATAATATCAACAAGGTTGTTACAAGTTGTTAACAGCTTGTTCCAAACTTGTTGACAACTTTGGACATGCAGATGTTTTACGCGTGTACCTCAATAAATAAACTTTCAATATATCTCATCTATCAATTTTTACCTTGTTGAATCATCTTCGCTGTCGTTGTAGTCTCTGGCTTCACAGTCAAAAACTTCCAAATCCCTCATGGTTTTTTGTGACTGGTTTATTACCGAGTCATCATGAGGACCCATGATTAACTTCACACTATTGCGAAAAAATCGCCAACTTAATATAAGTAAAGATTTCGCTCTTTTTGCAAAAGTGGATAATCCGAATGTGCAAAATATGCAAATCTTTATCACGTCAGTAATTAGCTAATTAGTAAAATCGCGCGCGATTAATCAGTCTCGCGCGCGATTAATCAATCTGTCACAGCTGACGTCGATAACATTTGCTAATTGGCCATGTCAGAGGTTTCAAATCATGAAGTTATTTTGTTGAAGAATAAAAGTAGTGGTACATAATTGCAGGATATTACAATAAGACCTTGCGATCTTGCAGGATCTTTCCAAGTTCTTGCAGGATCTTACCTAAGATCTTGGCATGCTGTTGGTAAGATCTTGGGCAAGAATAATTCTGAAACCCTTGTATACACGTAAAAATCTCATATCTTGTAGCAAGTTTGCCAACAAGCCGTCAACAAGTTGTGTTCGCACTGCTTGTCCCAAGTTGTCAACAAGTTTGGAACAAACTGTTAACAACTTGTAACAACCTTGTTGATATTATCAGACTTGTTGCAAGGTTGTTCCAACAAATCCGATACAGTCATTATATAACAATATTGTTACAACCTATGAATGTATCAAACTTATTAGAACAACCTTGTAACAAGTCTGATAATGCCATCAAGCTTGTTACAAGTTGTTAACAGCTTGTTCCAAACTTGTTACAACAACTGGGAACAAGCAGTGCGAAGACAACTTGTCGACAGCTTGTGAACAGATTTGTAACAACTTGTGCGTTTTTACGCGTGCAGATGACCGGTGGTTTTACCCGGCATAATACATGCACGGATTGTTTTTATTTCATGTTTTACTGAATAAATATATATTTCATCTAAATTTACAAAGCGACCTTACAGCAATATAATTCATTACATTAATATATATTTCTATATTTTTTTTATCGAAAAGCTGTACACATTATTTAAGCACTATCGTGCAGCCGATGGCGCGCGATGACCCTACAGTTATCAGAGTGAGAAAAACGTTAATTCCTTTCATTGTATATATATGCAGTAGTGCTGGATTTGGTTGCAAACGAATAGAATTGACAGATGTAATTTCCTACATGCTACAGTCAGGTTTTAAAATATTGGTCGGTATCGGACATTGTCCGACCTATTCGTGAAATTGTCCGACGTAGAGAGGAAACCAGTGGACATTCTGTCCGACCTAAGTGAAACTGAGGTTTATTGTTTGTCCGAGCCGAGTGTATTGGTATCCGTACGAACTGTTGCTTTGTCCGACGTAAATCAAAATGTCCCGTAGTCCAGGACTAGAGGCTCGTATGTTAAACGGAGAATCAGAGTGATGTATAAAAAGTGAACTGTCAACTGGAAATGTGTAAACAAGTGCGGGGTTTTCACCGTGGGGTCCGGAAATTCATTGCCAAGATTCAAATGACTTTTCCAAATTGTGCTGATATATTAATTTGTGTCTGAACTGGACTGAACTCAAAGTCATCGGACATCCATTGGACATCACAATACACATGTCCAACAAGTCATCGAATATTTTGAGGCCTGGTCACCATTTGCTGCGCTATAACGCTTACTAAACCCAACAATTAAATCATTAAAAGCAAAGCATCTACAATATCATTGACTAGCATGCAAGCTGATTTATATACGATCCAAAGCGAACGTCGTTAGGATGAAATTTCAATATAACCATGAACCATCCTCAAGAAATATAAGAAAAAAAAATACTCCGAATAATGGTGTCGTGATCACCACGCTTGCCTT